GCCAACTGATTTTGAGTTGCAGGTTTAGGACTTTCTTCGATGAATAATCCATTAATCAGTTAAAAGCTCGAGGATAATTGCCTCTACAGTCCTAATGTATTATTTTACATCAGAGTACGTGCAATTGTAGTGCTCGCTATATCGAACATGCAACGAGACTTTTGTCCAAGAGAATATCTGATTATTGTCCGCCGCTGTTCCAATAAGAACAGTGGGAGGCTTGAATAGCTCAATCCTGCAACATTTGGTAGACAGTGGATACAGGACTGACCCAGAAACATCATTTACAAATTTCCTTACAGCACCTAAGAACCACATAAAATGATAAGTCTTCAGTCTTCGGTCTTCAGGATTAAGGGCAGAGGGCAGGGTGCCTGTGTAAGCCCCATCACTACTGGGTCAAAGGTCCGATCACAAGTGTTCGTTCCTCCGTAGCCCCTTCAGGTGCTCATCCAGACGCCGTTTGAAAGCAGCATCTGTCTTCTCTTCCACCAGAATAGCTGGAAGGGAATTCTAGAGTGTTTTTGACCTACTCGGGAGTCGATAGACTAACGGAAGACCATCTGACTGAAGTTTTCACAACGTGAGAGAGTGCCCCCGCGTGCGGTGCTCTGTCCATAAAGGGAAGTACTGTTGCAGCTCCGGGCCCATATCACCTCTCAGAATCTTACTCAGTCAGATGAGATCTCCCCTGAGGCGTCGATACGCAATTGGGAACAGGCCAGTAGCCTGTAGAGACCTTCATAGCTGGTCCCGCGTAGTCCAACAACGAGTCTAATGGCAGCACGTTGTACACGCTCCAACTTAGTCAGTTCACCGGCCGTGCAGGAGTATGTCGCCGCACCACCGTACTCAAGTCTTGGTCTGACATGGGCAGCGTACAGCAGCCTGAAAGCGTCCATCATGAGCTGGTTGAAAGACCGCCGAATAGGCCCCAGAATGCTCCATGCGCTAGCTAAGACCCGATCGGTGTTTTCTCGGGTCTTTAGTGATGACGTAACCATAACACCCAGGTCTCGTTCGCAAGATGTTCTTCGCAATGTGGTTCCCTGGAAGTTGTAGACTACCGCTGAGTCAGCATGCCCCATAAATGAAGAAAATCCTGACAACTTTGGAATCCATAGCAAATTGGATAATGAGGCCAGAGTTTCTCAAGTAGTGTAACCTGGTGAAAGTACTGCTGTTACCATAGCCATAAAAATGATTGCCCATTATTCTTGTAACACGCTTTTCTGTACACTCCCCCCTCCACACACACACCTGTCCTTCGATAACATTTCACACCTGTTTTATTCATTCTTGACTAACACCTTTCATGTCGTATCCAGTCTACACAAATTTACCCGGCTTTTCCTATACAATTATCGTGACTTCATAGCTCGTTGTTAACCGAATATTTCACACATCAACATTCATTTCCTATCACTTCAGGCCTTGTATTTATAGACGGACTAATCAAACCATATACACTGCCTGAAGCGTTTTATCGAAAATAAATTTCTTCGCGTTTTTACTTCGTTCTTTTGCGTCCATCGGATTATATTTATTATACAAGGTATCGCCCACATTCGTGAAAGTGCTCGAAGTTGAATGAGGGCTACCGAATGAAAAAAGGGTACCAAGTTAACGGTCCCGCAATTTAAAATCGCATTTTAAAGCGATGCTCGGATGGAATAAAAGCCCGGATACGGCATTCCATAATCCAGTTGGCCCTCTTACTGTGAGCGAATGTTTGATAAAAATCTGAAATAAAATGTCAATGGAACAGACCAGCACATGTCGGGGAAATTAATAGACAGATGTTTGATTTGAATGGCAGCAAGGTAGAGATAATCTTTGGGAAACATCTTTGATACCCATTTGCTTCACATAACGTGCTATACAGTACTGGCCGATTGTGATGTACCAAAATATTTTCTTTATGATCAAATGGAGTTTCATTATATTTATTACACACAAGTGTTTCACAGGGACCTGTTGCTCCAGTTCCGATTAGACCTGTATTTTGAGTCCGCCGCATTTCAGCAGTTGATTTCAGTAGTATGGACGTTGTCATTTAGTAAAATATACCCAGAGAAAAATAATGCTTGATGGCTTTATCTCACTTGAAAGAGTTTTTAATGAAAAATGAATTCGTTTAATAATTAATAAATAATAATACGAATTGGACAAACAAAAAGGGAAAGTAAAACAGAAACAGTTGAAAACTTTTCGAGTACTGGCAATGCAAGCTCACATCGATATGGATTTCTCCAGAGAATAATCAACTAAAAGAACATAAAGATGACAGAGTGAGTGGAATCTAGTCAGCGGCGAGTCTTTTTACGTCCTAATGTACCCTAAACTTTAATTTAGACCAAAAAAGTTAAGATAACCAAACAGCACTGAACTATTTTAAGCCAACTCTGTGAAGTGATAACTTATTGTTACTCAATTTGTTATTGCCAGCAGCACGAATTAAACCAAATTAAGCGTAAAGTTCTCATTTGGTCGTTTACTTCGAACTTGACAACTCGTGAATTGGTGATGGCTACTGACGTTAAGCTTGGCGAACGACAAGGAAATCCAGAAATGCTTATGACCAGGGCTTTATCCTTCGCAACGCATCCACTGTGGCTCATGGTGCGGGTACTATCAAAAAGCTTTGGGGAATCGGTCGGAAGGTAATGGGTCTTTTCAGATGCAGTATGAGTTACTTCATAGTTATCGGCGCAAGGGATGACACTGACGGCTAAGCACATAATAATGAAAGAAGTCAACCGACCTGAATGAATTATTTCATTTTATAAACTGGCTTCCCAAATTGAAAGTTTCACTTTCAGCGAAATTAAATCGGAAACTTTTTAACGTGAAGAACTTGAACCTCAAATTGAAATCGCACAAGTCCTAATGCTTAACCAAAAATTGTCAGAATTTACTTAAGTTGGTACTCAATCATATCGTGACCGTGGAATAAAGTAATAGAATAATACGTAACAAATGGGACTTAAATAAGCATCGCAAATGTCAGATTGGAATCAGCTGAACTAAATCGTCTGCGATCATCACTGGACTTATTTTGAATACTTGTAAGACATCCCTCAATTCATGGAGAACGAACAACGCTTCTCCCTTGGTAAATGAAATGTTATGCGTATTTTGATTATTAACTTTCCAGAGTCCAAGTAGACAGTGAAATAACGATTGAGTGTCGGTATAAGAGTACATTGTGTGACACCGTTCAACTGAGGCAATCCATTCCCTTTGTTTTCTTTTCTGCTGATGCCTATACTTTGCTCATAAAATTACACTCATTTGCGATTGATTATTACAGACAGTTAGTAATTTTGTGCAGTCATTATCCGGTAAACTATTGTAACATGTTTTACGGTAGTAAGCGTTGATTAGCCCATTCGATTGTTGAGAGGCATCAGACAAAGACAAAAAATTACGCACCACTGACGAGTCCTAAACAGGAGGAAACAGCTGATAACATGTGTTTGATAATTAAAAGCTATGGAAATTTTTATTCATTCATTGAAGGTTACAAAGGAAACATCGTTTAACGGAAAAATAACACATATATATATATATATGCGAAAAACTAGATATCTGAAGAACCAAAACCCTAGAGAGCACTTCAAACCTCATTAATTGTTTACAGTGTTCAGTAGTAGTGTAGATTCACTGAGATTTAAAATTTTTAACTTTATTAATTACTAATTGTGGTGGAGCGAGCCTGTCTATTGTAGTCGAAAGTACATCCTTTGATGGGTACCAATGAAATCCCTAAAATATGGACATTCAGTCGTTTGGTATTTCATCAACACAATGAAAAATACTTACTTGCATAGAAGGCAAACGAAAATGGATTTGCTGTATACAAAAACTCTGATTGGCACTGTCCACTTAAACTCAGCATTAAATGAGAGCACGATATTACAAAGAGAACATCAATATTTAAGACGTGTGTAAAGATTCATTTAGAAAAATATATTTTATTTGAACGGAATTAATTTTACTGTTAAAAAAATATAGGAAGGAAGTGAAATCTGGAGAAAAACAAAAAAGCATTAGTTTTGAAAAGGTCCGGATATTTGAACCTCTAGTCATGTACATATTTCTCCAAATGTTTTTTTTCTAATAAACCTAATATTATTCCTGACAAGTAATTTGCATTTCCAAGGACTGATTGAAGTACTTCAGAGTAATAATCTGATTGTTTATGAGGATTTTTGTATCATTTTTCTTCAGTTATGATTTGTGTTCTTTAAGTATTATCCTTTTCATTTGAAGCTATTACGAGTTTGGAACTAGGCTAGTCATATTTTACCTTGTTTCATTGTGTCGCTTAATCAAAGGCTACAGTTCACCTACTCAGTTGAATATCTGCTAAATGAAACGAAATGAATAAAACAGAACTAAAAACATGATGCAATCCAATGTTGAGAAAGAGATGAAATTTTATATTGAAATATACTGACTCATCTAGAGTCCTTTAAGCCCACTCAACTTCATTAAACACCCTAAAATTGAGAAGGAAGATCTTTCGGAACAGGAAGCCATTTCTTTCATGATTGTGTGTACACTCATTCATTCATGTTGTGAAGTTTTGTGCTAGCGCGTACATTCTGTACACATACACACACTTTCCGAAGTTCAGGGATCGTGCTGAGCTGAACAAAAGGCGTATGTCTGATTCCCATGGAGATTTCTTAAGCTATTATTTGTCACAACCATCCGATTTGACAAGGCTTCTCACTGAGCAATGCTTACGAGGAAGAGGATGTTTTGAGTACACACTGTGCGACCATTAAGTAAGAAATATCTACGGCGCTGTAACAGTAATGATTGATAGGCCTTGCTCTTAGCAAATAAGTATTCTTATTATGTCTCAACCAATAGCATTCTGTTTTTAGTTGAGGGGAGCTTGACTACAGATTATATATAAATGTGAGTTGTTCATGAACGAGCAACATTCGACGCTCTTGATCCGTCTTGTAACAAATCCTAAGTGCAAGATGTACAATAGCGAAAACGGACTCTTTGTGGGGCATGTTGGCAAAGGCCCCTTGCAGTATCGTGTTCCTGCTCGGAAACCACAAGCAATCTATCCGTTCCTGCACTCCCCTTACCCAGAAATCACGGGAACTACCCCAGTTACAAGATATTTCGGTCCATACTATGGAGTCACACCGGGCTATATCCCCCCGTATGTCGGCTATCGAGGTGTTGTGCACAAGGGTCGCATTTTGGGTATTGATGAAGTGGTAAGCGTCATATATGTTTGTATCATAATGTCAGTTGGGAAGTTCATGTTTCCCGAAGGTCAATGTTAACGTTTATTCTTGCGTTACTATTTTATTTCAGTATGAACCAACTCTTCGTCCCTTCCCCAAATTCAATGTGGTCGAAGATTGTGAACGTTTGAACAAGGCGATGAAAGGCTATGGTGTAGACGAGAAGGCAATCATTGATGTGTTTGCCCATCGTTCGGTGGATCAACGATTGCGCATTATTGAACACTACAAGGTCATGTACAACAAAGATTTAGTCAAGGAATTCCGAAATGAACTGAGTGGCCATTTCTTTGAAACAATCGAGGCTATGTGTCAACCACCGGAAGATTATGATGCCATGGAACTGCGCAAAGCTATTCATGGGGTTGGATCAGATGAAGACACACTGATTGAAATCTTGACCACGCGTTCAAATGCACAAATCAAATTGATCCGAGAGGCCTACCGCCGACGTAAGTATACCGAAACTAATTGAATTCATCTTGAATTTCAAATTTCAATAAATAGGATACATTGCCTTATTGAAAAACTGAGCTACTAAACATATTACTACATCATTGGATATATGATATTCACTCCTTTTTGCTATTCAACAGTCTTCTTTGGCCGAGATTTGGAATCCGATATTAGAAACGATACATCTGGACATTTTAAGTCATATTTAATCAGTCAGCTTCAGCCTACGCGTGACGAAAGCCAGACCGTCGACCGAGCACTTGCACAGAAAGATGCCCAAAAGCTGTTCGATGCTGGTGAAAAACGTTTGGCTTCGACCCAATCTCAGTAAGTTCAAATTTAGGCCGTGGTACAATATTTCATTCACTCACAGAAAATTTAATAAAATACAACGAAATACATTTTATTTTCGATATTTTCTTTCAGACTCAATGCAATTTTGTGCTCGCGATCAGCCACTCATCTTCGCTTTGTGTTTGATGCCTACGCTCGCTTGGCTAACCGGGACATTGAAATTGGGTTGCAACAGGCTTTGACTGGTGACCTTCTACGATCCTACTTGGCTTTGAGTGAGTCGTTTTTCTTTATTTTTGTCATACATCATATACTAATTCCTCAACAAAAAACGATTCACCCGAAACATGATGCACTGTTTTTTTCAGTCCGTTGCATTCGAAATAAACCAAGCTACTTTGCTGGACGTTTGCAGAAGGCTATGAAAGGTTTGGGTACAAACGATGGAATGCTTATTCGTATTGTGGTCACACGTTGCGAGGTCGATATGGGCCGTATCAAGCATGAGTTCTATGTGGAGAACCGAAAGACCCTAGCCAGATGGATCTCAGTAAGTGATTGCCAATTAGTTATTTTATTCCCTTCAGTTTGAACTTATTTCGTTCGGCTTCTGTGTGTCTGAGAATACTTGAAGAATAAACGATGAGTGGTTTGAACACTTTCTCTCTTCTTCCAGGATGATACCAGTGGTGACTACCGAAGACTTCTTCTGGCCCTTATCAATGAAGACAAAGGTGTGGAATAAGCGCACAAACTATGGACAGCCAATAGCACATGGATTAGCTTGTGTGTGAAGCTCACAATTGAATTATTGCCTTCTTATATTAGCTTTGTATCTCATTGTGACTTGAGGGGCTCTGATTAATCATATGTATTCCTTTCTTGGATTTATTTAACTTGATTCATTTCGGTTTCCAATCACAGATGTTTGACTATTATGTCAAATTTCAACACACGGTAATACAGATACTGATATGGATTGTTTGTTCTTTCTTCATGTGGAATGAATTAATCTATTATAAGGTGAATGTTCTGAGCCACAATTGGGGAACTAACGTAGCATGATTGGGGAAAGAGAGGCTGGTGGTGAGGAAGGTAGCCGAACATAATTCACACATCCAGGCAAACGGATAACTTTAGTTTTTTCCGGTCTTTTTTTACTCGACATTTGTGGAACAATTTCCTCACGAAAAAGATTATTCCTGTAGTAAAGTAACCTCAAACCTTCCACAGAGAATCTACGCCAACCACTTTTGCAGTAGTAGTGTTTAAAGGCAAATGAAAAAGCTTTTGGTACTATCTGTTGCCACAAGATGATCAGAAATCATTGAAGAATGCGGAACGGTTCGGTGACAGAGAAGAAATGTAGTGATTGCATAAATCAAGTAGAGTTTACAAAATAAAAGCCATACAGAAATAGCTCGTCCTGGATTAGGAAAACACTATTGTGTGTGATTGATTTAGTTAGTTAATATAACTTGAATGTGCGAAAATCTTTGGACAAATATAATAGAATATGACGCAAACAAATACCACATGACAAGATCAGAATGAATAAGCCAATGAACTTTCAGATAACCTTCATCTAGACTGATATTCTGAAGATATGTTCTATCAAGCGATGTTTTTGTGGACAGCGTGATAGTTTATTAAATCAGTTCGTTGTGCTCTGCGTATTGTAAAAATGATTATAATAACTGGATTGGCTTAATACATTTAACATTGTTCGTGCCTGTTGCATGATCCTACCAGAATGAAGTTTGTTATAGATCATCCCTCTGCGTGGCACCCAAACATATTTACCCCCTCCTAGAAGATTAAAATCATCGATTATTTTCGAAAGTCGCACATTTGTGGTTAGGTAAACTTTACTCTTGTACTCTGGCTATAATGCTTCGAGCCAGATGATGCATCCCTATGAAGGATATTTACCTAGTCTTATACCGTAACTATACAACTCTCAGATTTACGTACTGTTTTCTGTTTGCCTTATATAAAAAGAACTTCACTTTACAGTCAAATCATCTGATATCGCCAATACATTTCTGAGGAACTATAGGACATAAATGTGATTATATCGATCCTGAGGTGGAAAAACGGCCATAACTACTGAAGAATAAGATGGCTATTTGTGACACATGAAAATGAATACAAATAATCCCAAGCAAATAAACGCACAAAAATTTCATACGATTATGAGAAGAAAGAACTTAAAGCAAGAGTGCTCATACACTATGTTATTTTCATTGGAGAGAAACATAGTAGTACTAATTTTCTGACAAAAGTGTTACATAGCTCATACAAATACAGTTCAATGACTTTAGAAGTCAACATTCATCTTCACGAGAACTCCTGTAACCTCATAAATCTTCACCGACAAAAGGTTTTTTGGTTGGTCTTTTTCTGATATGATCGGTGATGAAGCCCAAAACACGTTCAATCCATATACTCGGCCTATATATTGTCCAAAACATAACAGCCAGCCCAAACAGCAGCTCATTCGTAGGGTTTTCAATAACTTTTAATTCATACAGTGATGTGTAAATTTAAAAAATAGAAACACGAGTTAACAATGAACTATGGCATTGAGGTAGTTGCTACTGTCCCACTGAATACTTCAGTTATTCTTATCGAATCTTATGTAGTCTACTGCTCGAAGTCTCAGGACCTAAACCCCTAGTGACCAGGAAAACACATGGAGCCTTATGACTGCAATGATTATCACACAAACAAAGCAAAATGAGAAATCATAAGTTAATAAAATGTTCATCAATTTTTGGTGAACTCAAGTGGTTCGCACTCTATTTGATATGTCAGGACCTAATAATACTATCCCAAATTCATGTTATTATAAACCCGAGTTCAGAGACGTGAGCAAAGGTATTGGAGAAAAATTGATCAGTGACGTTTCCGAAAGGTTGTTTTTGAGTACACTTCAAATAGCTCATCGTTATTTTTTTCGATAAACGTACAACCAAACTTGGTTTCGATATGTGTTAATTCAAACATTCCCAGAAAGGAGCTAGTCTGTCCTCATTTTTTTGAACTATTCTGATTCATACCTCCGGCCATTTAGCTTTCACCACTTGACGTGAATCCTATTGAATATTAACTACTAGCATTTAAACAGACATCGAATCTTTGTTCAACGTTTTTTCATTACCGTGACTGCATGGCTGTGCTAGCAAATATGTGCTGCTCCGCTTGTTACTTGATTTATTTCAGTAGTCGACGAGCAAATGGCATCTTAACTTGCAGGGTTAATGATCCCCTGAACCGAAGAATAAATTGACGGTTTATCTGGCTCTGTGAAGTGCAACCGGTTTACCTTGTTATGGCATGTCTTTGTCTAGCTTATCCTCAGCTTGGGCACATAAACCGGTGAAGTGAGTCATGGAGACAGTGAATTGGAAGGGAATTAACATCAACGAGTACCAGTTTGTGTTCTGAATGACCAGTGCGAACGATCCTTTGTTTTACGTCATACTTTCTCCCTCACCCTTGGCCCTGTACAGCAGAATTGCTCTCTAACCATTTTCAGGCTCGGATTGAATAATATTCCGCGAGAAGTGCAAATTGTACTCTTTCAAACTGATATTAGATCATCTGATAAACGTTTCGTTTGAGAAACCAGTTGTTAGCTATTGCCCGGCTGTGCAATGAGCTATCCCTGCCGCGCACATTATTGACCCCTGGAAATGCTAAAATCTCTAAGTGGTCGCCAAGGTGTTAGTTCTCCCTCATGTTAGTTAGAAATTTGTCCCACTTTGCTACCGACTCATCCGGTCGATCGATTAAAGAAGCCGATCGATCGTGTGCTTACCAGAGTGTCACAAGATATTAAGTTATAAACNGGTCTAGGAAATTCCGGATGGAGAAAGTTTCTGCTATGATGACCTTCTGCCAACGATTGACTGGTTAAGGGTACATTCCACATTCTTCACCCGGTCCGAAAAACGGATATCATTTTAACATTTCAAGGCAACTTGCGGTATTAAAGAAGAACCTTTGGCCCATTTAAAGCAGGCAGGTTACAAGAAGTTAGTTGAAATAATACGGCGCGTCGGTGGGAATTTTGCATATAGTGCGATAAACGATTTCTCACTTTTGAGGTTCTTTTCTCATGAAAATAGAGGGTTATAAGTTGATTTCTTTGCTCAGTGGGGACCCCAAAAAACTTGATTCCAGGTCGCATCGCAGTCGCAATGTGTTGATTGAGGTTGATATTCCTCAAACCGAGATTGTCGGACATTACATTACCAACAAAACGTAATAAGTAACAACAAAACTACTTATTTCAATGGTTAGGGCACTTCATATTTGCAAGTGCTAGAAAACAATATGATGACTCCAATTCGGTCAAATAGAAAGGTAATTTGGCATTCCGGTTTGCTTTAAACTTTACGGTGCATCACCACATAGTGCCTTGTTAATGGAAAATCTTCTGGGTTCGAAATTTACCGCTAGGTGGATCGGCTGAGGATTACAAAGGGGATCGTCTATGTGCTAAGAGGAACTGTATTATTCAGACTTGTTTTTTGGGGAAAGCTTAAGTGAACAGTTGACTCCGGAGAACCAAAACCTTTGAGGCGATATAAGAAAGCATCATCGCACAAAGCTGTTCTAAAGGTCTAGGTAAACTGTGTTCGTTATATTTTTTGCAAATAAATGATGGAAGACATGAACACCTTTTACAGAATGTCTTGGTATGCTCCTTATATGTCCTCGTCGATGCATCCTTAGGATAGTTAACAAGGGTGTCAATCGGTCGACCAAACATATGGAAACAGCAAGGAAAGTGCTTCGATGCCATTAGCTTACACTAGGTGATTTTGGAGCCGATAGGTCATTGTGGCGATTCTGAGCAAATGACCAGCACAGGTGTCAAAACTTATTTCCCTGTGAGGATACGAGAAACACACGATCGATCGGATTCTTTCATTACTTGACTGTCTGGATCAACTGTAACGAGGGGACGATTTTCTAATAAGCACGAGTGAGAATGAACATCTTATCAATCAACAGCAGTCTTCAATGTCATGAATGCGCTATTACTGTGCACAGCAGTGTTGCCACCGTCGCACGGCTAACGACGCGAAAAAGCAAGAGTCTCACATTAAGACCCGGTTTTGTATCAGATTGATCGATCAAACCTCGGAAAACGCATTGTTTTTGACATCTCAAATAATGTACCCTTGTTGATGGTTGACATTCATGAACCCATAGGATCCCATTCATCAACTGTTTGTCAATTTACTCCACACACTGTCCTATATACTCTACCGATACTTGATCTTCCTCGAATGAAGTTTCGTGCGTATTCCAATGACTGAACAGTGTCACACCATTGCTTTGTGCTCTCTGTGAAACTTGTTTTTGCGCCCGTCTTCCATTTACCGTTAAGTCAGTCAGCCTGAATGTTTCCTTCCGACCGTTGCTACCATAACGAAACAATTGACCGTGTGTCGCTTAAGACTTCGCATTGAAGCGTCTCTTTGGTACCGGTTAAAACCTATCGTCCGCCAATTGGCTATGTAGGTTATCATTGCCTGATGCCCATTGGCGAAGAAAAGCTACTCAGAACTTAATTACACCAACCGTATCAAGCTGTGGCTCAACCGAACTCGCTGCAAGATTCTGATGCATATATTAGATCATTAGAGTGGTATCTTATGCTAGCAGTTACATCCAATAATCACCTTCAATCCATATTGCAGCATGACCTCAGCGTATTTCATTAGTCGTAACTAACAAAAGACTGGCTATTATTTCACGGCATCAAAACAATGGTGTGCCTTATATGCGGCCCCGATTTGAACCCGATAGTAAACACTTGGGTTATTTATTCAAATTCGTAGATGGTAAATTGTGCCTCCAATTTGGGATACTTTTAGTCGGAATGTGCACCACCACTTCAGAGTTTACACTAAATTTTCATTACAAGCATTTTTGACTAAGGAATGGAATCAAATTGACATAGACATGAATCAAATCTTAGGCAGAGTAAAAAATTAACTTCAGTGGGCAAAGTTCACAGAATGCAATACGTTGGTCGCGGTAAAAATTCCTTTTTTCAACATGTTCTCTTGAAAATTAAAGATCATTTGATGAATGTTCGTATTTCGATTTATCATTCCGTTGTCGTTCAGATTCTCAAAAGTGGTCAAGATTGGGCACTTTGGACGAAGATAATTCAAAATGTTAGGTAGTAAAGAATTTTGTCGGGGCCTATATAGTTTAGAATCTCGAGGCATCAGGAGTTAGATGCGGAAATTCAAAAGTTAGTAAAGGTTAAATTGTAACGTAGAATAATCATGTTTGTGTATGTATGTATGTATCCATGGGTGTATGCAAAATATGTGGAATATAACGGTTATCTTCTTTCTGGAAGGGACTAAGGTCAATCTAGCTCTCCCTAGGGAAACATAAATGATACAACTTATCGGCATTTGCGGGAACCAATCACAAGACCTCCGAACGTTACACTCATGAACTCAATTGCCGCATCACAACCACCCAACTCATTTAGAAATCAGGTAACTGTGTAATTAAGGTAAGAGTAATTTTGTCTACAGAACGTCTTGCCTAAGAAAGACTGAACGAGTTTCCCCAAGCCACAGAACATAATCAACTCTAATCTGTCATAACTAAATCCGAATAACTAATCTCATTAAGTGAATTGACAGGGACGAAAGAATTTAATAAATTGCGAAGAACACTAGATGATCAAATTCAAAACTGGACAAATAACCATCTGTTGTGGATGTGGAGAGTCAAGCAACTGCAACTAAAGGGACCACAATGCATCCTACAACGCACCACGGAACATAAGGGGGAGCATGTCATTTTTGAAGTAAACCAAATTTATAAAATGATTAACTTTGATTTTTTGAATATTTTGAGTAAAGTGTACTACAGGTTCGTTTAGCAGTTGTGTTTGATATCTCCTGCTTTTCCTTTAACATCTTAAGTAAACTACCTCAGAATTGGTATGATGCACGCCCAATTCGGTTGTTTTTAACTGCAACTGTCTTTGATTAAGCTATTTATTAAAAAGTTGAAGAGATGTTCGTTATTTTAGTATAATTTTATGACGCCGTTATTTTCCGAATTTTTTACCCCATTTTCCTTTCCTTGAAAATTACTTGTGATAAAAAATTGCTGCAACTGTTTATCAAAGATAAAGAAAACTGCGTAAGAGGATCTCGTAACTTGAGGATTATCCTCATTATCTCCTCGCTCATAATCAACCACTGTGGAATGGTGGTGTAATTAACACTAAAGAAACCATACATTAAGAGCCGCAATCCTTGATCTTGATGGAGACTACT